CCATTTCTGTTGTTCTTGTGGCTGCTTGGATTGGATGGGGGAATGGATGGGTGGATGAATAGTTATGCTGGTATATAAGTAGAGCTGGTATATAAGTAGATAGAGGCCCATGGTGAGCGGCGAGTGATTGTGTGCATGAGATTCTCAGTTCGCTATACATAATATCAGAAGGACTCGAAACTATTCGATTTGACGGGGTGGGTGCTAGTTGGATTTCGGCTTAATATCAACAGAAGATTTTAAGTATGGGAATAAAACAACATATTCAAGATAGGAGATAGAGGGTGGAGTAGAGCGAATGGGAAAAAGGGGTAACTGTTTCTTTGTTCTGTATGGCGCGCTATATATGGATTTATTCACTTGCCTCGTTGGATCATGTGCCCCTTTCATTGCACTCGTAGATATGATGAGAGTGTATTTTTTGTTTTTATTGTATGGTGGGTATAAAAGCTACTGGGATTTTGACGTTTTTGCGGTACAATGCCCAAGGTTTAGACAAAGAAGAGGATGGGAGGACCTTTGTCTTTGAGAAAATTCGAACCGGGTTATATTGAGTTCTTTACTCAACAGATCTATTTGTCAGCGTGGCGGAAGTGAGTTGTGTGTGCTTGATGAACCGAATTTTATCATTTGAATTTATTATTATTGTTTTTTCTTTCTTTTGGTCGATGATTTGAGATTTCAATTTTTGCTGGCGATTATCATCACTTCCTGCCCTGTTCCGCCATGTATTATATTATAGTCGTCTCTTGAGACTTTGGTCTTGATATCTGAAAAGCGGTGCCAATCAAATGCCTACGAAATAACCAGAGTATTACTCTATGGAGATTGCGACGTGGTCAGAAGCCCTTGCCATCATCGTCGAAATCTACCATAGACTTGTAGAATTCCTTCGAGGGGTTGAGAGAGGCTTTTATATCCGAATTAGAAGTCAAGCTTGGAGGAGTCAGTTGGGGTTGAAAAGAGCGGGGAAGAAAGTGAGAGAGGATGGTGATGATTTACTTTTTCGGTGCCAAGATGCCTGATCAGGAGTCTGTGTGTTTAATGTGAGTTCGTGATTCCTTCTTTATTAACTTTTAATGGGACGTCTACATTTGAGACCGGAGCAGAGTCTCTGAGGGGAGGGATGGGAACATAAATGTGATATCTCTCCAAGTCTTTAATATACACAACGCGCAAACATCGTTGGGTCCTCGCACGCATGGAGTGGACCGTCTGCCCGAGTAGATATGCATGCTATCGTATATCCTATATCTAGCATCGATGTTTCTTTAGTAGAAGTATCAATAAGCCAAGATTGTGGAAGGAGTTGTGGAGCATAGGAGAAAGGGGGAAGCGAATGGTACCTGAGTACTTACTGTCTTTACTTGAATATCCACATGTTGTCGTTTATCTTATTTACCGTCATTCTATGCTCTATCTGACTAAACTTGTTGCATCTGGACTGCTTTACCTGCAGTTCATGATTATAAGAACACCCGATTGTAAAAGTCGTACCATCTACGATTTGGGTTTTGATGTATACTCGAAGTCTCCATGTGTTCCCAAGCTTTTTGCAATGTGTGTTTCTTTGTTGCTTAATCTTGAGAGGCCTAGTGTATATATACTACTCAATGAGATAACCACACATCTCGAAGGCAGGAAGTAGAAAGCGGGGAGGGAAAAGGAGCTTGGGGTTGGGGCGAATTACGTGGTATGTAAATCATGCCATGAAGAGTCAAAGTCTGCATATGTATTCACTCATCCACTTTCCATTGTTCATCATTCCTTCTTTTCTCTGCTTTATATACCTCCTTTTCATCTCTCTAGCTTCTTGAACCCGGTAAAGACCATCATCTTCTTCAATGTCTTTAACGAGAAGGTTGATTTTGGTGATTTTTGTACCAAACTGGAGGTAAAAAATTGAAGCCCGAAATTTAACAACCTCTTTCTTTCAGGCAGTGGTATAAATAGTCTTAGTTAACAAAGCTGTATGTTTTGGATTTGCATGCAATCAATGCACATTCAAGTGTCAGGCATTACAATGATTGAAGCGAGTATATTTTGAACATAAGCTAGGCTTGCAATGCGGTAATGTGATATTGATAACGTGAGTAACAAATTTCGGTGTTTTGGGGAGTAAGGGGTCTAGGAAAGAAAGAGAAGGGGAGGCAGTTTGTTGCTATAAAGCTTTTGGTGTTGTTGTTCACTCAATATAGTTGCTTATATTCATACCGCTTGACGATTTTCTGGGTGAGATTGTAGCTCACACTTAACATACAGCATCCAGGCTTTTACCCTATTGCAAAGAACAATTTAATCAGTGAGTATACCTGATTCCCGGTAGCTGTGCTGATTATCTTACTCGCAAGTTATAGACGGATAGTCTTTATATAGCAGAACTTATTTTCAAGTAGGTTATTTATTCTCTCACTTATTACATTCCCCAATTACTTCCGTTTCTAGTGGGCACACGATGTTATCACATGATTTCTAAGTCCCTTGAATGGTTATATAAACGCTTCTCCGAACAAGATTTCATAGAGACAGGAGTTTTCATGGCCTATGTCTCAGTGGCTAAGGGGGTATCTTTACTACTGTGGATAAACTCTCTATATTAGTTTTAGTAGCTTGAGTGTTTTGGATATGTAGAGTAATGGATAGACAATCCAGTGGCTATACAGGTAGAAATCTATCATTACCATCGTTTCCGAAGGTTGGGGAGATGAGAGTTATGAGATGAGAATAGCTATTAATTGTTATTGTCATTCGACTTTGTGTTGTTAATCTTCGAACTTTCAGAGGATTCTCCAGCTCCGTCATCAACTCAAAAATCAAAATATCCGGAAGTCTGTCAGTGCTAAGCACTAATTCTGGGCTGATAGTAATAATCTTGGTAACTTTCCTGCTACGAACCGTCATTATCCGACACCCGATTTTCACATTCTGGTTAAAATGTGACAGAACTAGGAAGAGAAGACTGTTTATGTAACTTGAGAACAAACCAACGAAGAGCAGAGAATTAAGATAGGATAATAAAATAGTGAATATGAGATCTGGAAGAGACATTGTCATGATTTATTGATTCGAGATCATCAGACACTCATTCACTCATTCACTTACTTCTTCCTTGCCCGTTCAACTTTCCGCCTTGCGAATTTTTGTTGGACGCTTATTTAAGGGTTCCGCCGAGAGGATGCTTTGAATCGAGCATACAAACAGAATCCATGACGACAGAACTCGATATCATGCATAGACAAAGTTGCTGTGGGCGAGTTCCTGTAAGTTGATGCGCTTTGGAAATATGATATAACACTGGAGGTTTTGATCTGGAATCTTGGTGTGATGTAAGAGGTGAGACACTTGTTGTTATCATAGATTATGAGACGATGATTTATTGTTGCTATCAATTTATATTGTGATATTACATCCAAATCTCTTGTTGATTTATTTTTAAGTTATTTGACAGATGTGTAGAATGTGGATCAAGTTATCTCTTGTCGTACCATATATGTACTCTATGATGGAGGACGAGAACGGGCGGACAGGCCATTAATCCTAATCGAGGATGTTTCCGTGCTTTGGCCAAATCGTTGTATGTTGTAAAGAGTGCTTATATGACGGGCTAAGAGTATCTAAAATAGCGCGAATTATTAAAGTAGTGGGTTCAGTATCAGTAGGAAGTTACGTGATTTGATGTATATCTAATCTGAACAAAATGGGATACTAGCCCATTCACTGCTCAAAAGTGTTGCTTGATTCGCCCGTTCCTCTTTAGATGATTGAACTCATTGAATTATCATTGCATTTATAGGACTAGCACATCAACGATGTAGTTCTACGACTATTGTACCTCGCTAATGATATTAACGAAAAAGATTAAGAGTAAAGTGTACCTGACCAAGCAACTAAAGCTGGCGCAGTGTAAACCAAATTGCAGCCTCGAACCACGTATCTCTTTTGAGCCAGTCAAAGATGGAAGAGCTTTTTCTTAATGCCAACATCTTGAAAGTTCTTTCCAATAAAGTGTTCCCTCGGCCAATTTTACCAACAACAAATTCTCTATGTCATCAAACGCTTTCCCTACCTTTCATATTTCCAGGTGCTTCTACCACACCCAAGCGCTTCTTCAACAGTCATTTTCTCACAGATATCTTCCCAAATTCCGCATTTGAAGCCGCCAGCTTAGGTACACTCTTATTCCCCATCTAGGCCATATTCTATCGTTGGATGAGTAAGTATGTGGATTGTCAAAGGAAACATTGCGCAAGCTCTAGTTCTTACAGTTCTTCGCCACCGATGAGTAGCATCAAGAACGGGAATGGGAACACGGATGTGAAGAAAAATTAGGAATGCCCTCTCGGGTCGTGCTACGACTTTTCCTGTTCTGGATCTCCTTCTGGGCACGGGTGCGTGGGAGATTTAGTTTGGAGATATGACCCCAGTTATGGATTGGTGGGTTGGACGCCGAGGTTGAGATCTTTGGATGCGAAGGAGGAATATGGAATAAGTTTCGGAGAACATCGACACAGACAAAGACCGAATCTGGTTTCTGAAATACTTGCCCTAATTGAAGGTACCGTGGTAGTGGGGACTCACGTTCGTCTAAAGCGTAACATTATTCATTGAAATTGAACTTCACATTTCTTTCTCTAGAGAACTTCTTCTAAACACGAGATGATATCATCCTGTACATCGTGATCTATAAACCGCCCCTTTTTTACCTTTATTGAGATCATACCAAGTCCCAGAATTAATATTCTCCGCTCGGAGGATTTGTAGCAAAAGAATACATGCCTTGAACACACTGCACAGTCAAAAATTCAGAAATATCACTCACGAAATGACAAAGTGAAAAACATAACTCATTGAATATCATCTATCTGTTCGTTGTCAAAACCATGTATAATACATACAAAAGTACAAATGCGATCCCTGCCCGACTCCCGACTCCCCACTCCTCAATCTATCTTTTCAGCCATATACCCTAATGCCATAACCGAACCAGAAACTCCCATTCCTCATAGATCAAGCGGATATCTCTTTCTAATCTGTCCTCCATACTTATAGATCAGGCCTGTTGCGGGAATCATCGCTACAGCTATGAACCCCAACATAGTGTTTCCCCATCCCAGTCCCAATTTTGCATAAATACTTGGCGCAGCCAATGGTAACAGAGCGCCAAAAAGACTTCTACTAGCCGTCATAGCGGCTGTCGCACTAGCTGCAAAAAGAGGGAAGCTATCAATAATATATGTCTGGATAGGAATGAAAACCCCCATCATGCCGAATCCGAAGGGAATCAGTCCAATAACTGGTATGATCCAATGGGCGTGTTTTTCGGCTGACCATCCATACCAGAAAAATGTGATGGGAATGAATAATGAAAAGAAAAGACAGGCCGGTAAACGCATTTCTGGCTCGAAAATACCGTTATTTGCCGCGGTCATACGTATTACTGTCTTGTCGGAGATTTTCGTTACGAGAGCTAGACCTGAGAAGAATCCAATGCCAATACCAATATAAGCAAGACCACAGAGTCCTACACTCCATCCGTATTGCTCTTGGAATACTGGAGTGATTGTAGTGAACAACAGGTACAGTAAGCTGTATGCAAAACAGATGTATATCGAAAGTATGAAAACGATTGGTGACATGAATAACATCTTGAGTGGTCGAAGAAGGCCATTGAGAAGAACTGTTCTGGTACTAGGATCACCTCCTAAATCATAGCAGGATAATAAATCTGGACGATTAAGCTCTAGCCGAAGCTTTTGTGTTTTTCTTCGGATCAAAACAGGAGGATAAGTTTCGCGATTGAATATTTCAATGCCAATTGTTGTTACTGTGCCAGCACAGAATATAGCCCAGAAAATCCAATGCCAGCCAACTCTTTCTGCTATGAAGCCTCCGCAGATAGGTCCTATTACTGGTCCAAACAAAGGGCCAATGGTGTACGCTGCTGAAGCCGCTCCACGTTGCTCGCGTCGAAAAAGATCGGCTATCACACCACCACCGAGTGCCAAACAACCGGAACCGCCAATGCCCGCAAAGAAACGAAATATTATAAGTGCGGTAAGGTTTGGAGCAAGAGCGCAACCTATTTGAAATAAACAAAAGACGATGTTGGATGCACATAGTACAGGTCGTCTTCCATAAATCTCTGATAATGGTGATAAGAAAAGAGGTCCGAAGACAATGCCTAGAAGAAAGACTGTAACAGTAAATGTACTTAGTGTTTCATTATGATTGTTAAATGTCTCTTCGATATAAGGTACACCAGGAGCAACCATAGAAGATGCTAGAGGACTGACGACAGTGATGCTTGAAATCAGTCCGAGAAGAAGCCATTTCCGGCTCGGAGGAAAGTTTTGAGGGTTATCTGGGTCGTCTTGGCCATCCCAACCAACAATGCCTGCATATAAATCGGTTTCTGGTGCCAGTGCATCACTGGGTTTATTATGTGCGGGAACATCGTTTAATTCATCATCCTTCTATATTCAGTTAGTCTTGGAGCAAACCAGGAGTCAGAATACATGCTTTTGGATAATTAACGAGAGCTATGTCTGAGAGATTTGATGGATCTTCAAACTTGTGGCTGCTAATATTACTCTTATGAGTGTTGCCAGTAAGGACTCTTTCTACAGAGTATGTATGTGATGTATTTGAACCATACAATGTTTCCTCAGATCGAGCCATTCGTGTGTGTCCTTGCTCTTGGGCTTCCGACATTTGTATCGATTGAACGTGACTTTTTTATGTATCTACAATCGAAATAATGCTGTGCTCAGTCGGCCGCAATATTTTTGATAATCTTAAAAGAATGCCTGTAAATGATGAGGCTTGGTGGTGCAAATCATAGGTAGGAGTGATTCGCGCAAATGTCCTTCTCACTTTCAGTATTTGATTAAACTGGGTTTTGGTACGTTCTGTTCTATTCTTGGTACCGCTCGAATGAAATGAATGATGAAAAGTCAGTGAATCTCGAACAAGAATGATTGTTTTGGAAGTAAATTAAGAATTCGTCAAGAAAGAGATTATCTGAAAATCGTTGCAAATTACTGAACATGCAAAGAAAAGGGTCCATGAACATCTCATCGGGCAGCTATTTACACAACGTCTCAGACAAATGTTGTCCTTGACATCATTGTCCAACCTTCGGATCCGAATGTGCCCGGACAGAAGATTCTGGCTTACGTTTCTCAGCTGTCGGGAACCTACTGTAATCATTGTATGATGAATCAATCAATATAAGCCGGATCCGACTAATTGATTTGGTTTGAAATATAATATCACGATACTCCCACAAAGACGATTTGATTCACCATGGCACTCGCATAGTTCAACGGATCAATGTGAAGATAGAGTTGAGAGAGTGATGCTTTGCGAGAAGCATTGCTTTCTCTGGCAAAGCATGTCAGAACCTTGCAGGGTACATTGCTAACCAACAGCAGAACAGTATTGAAATCATGTTGTCCTTGCCACTGAAATATTGCAGCAGGCGGGAATCCAACACATTCGAACAAGGGGATGGGAACAGATATATTTCAAGTGGGCTTCACTGTTAATAAGGTTGTCGAGACGCCTTTCTTGACAGAGCCGAGTTCAGTGTATCCAACGTCGGAACCCTTTCTTGATGCTATCGGAGGCACATTGTATAGTTCAGCATCTCAGGAACACGCATATATTCCAGGTAGGCTTGATACGATTGTCGAGAAAGCCCTCTTGATGGTACGAGGGTCCATTGTATCCAACGTCGAAAGCCTTGTGTGTACCATGTTCACCTGGAAGACTGCCTCATCATGTGGCAAGAGCAGAAGAATGACAGGTGAAAATGGAGAGTTACAAAAATCTGCCTACGGTCGCACCGGGGTCAGAGGAGAGATAGTGAAGGTATTGATTGAAGGAATGGGACGCATTGAGTATCGCAGTGTTGCAGTAGCGCAAGGCTGAGTAATGCGTGGGGACTAGTACCATTTCAGCGGACCCCAAAAGTGACCCCATATCCCATGCCAATACCCACTCCTCTCTCCCATGAACCCTGTGTATCAAACCAACCATACCATAGCCTCCGATTGATTGATTGATTGATTGATTGATCACTGCAAAGCCACTTCACTTCATTCATATGGTGCATCATTCACCACATATAAATCATCATCAATTGTGCTATCCAAATATAATATGTGAACAAGGTATATCAAGGTTTCGGTATTCAACATTGCTACAGTACAGTGCACTACCAGATACTTATATTAACTTGCTTACCTGCACCCCTCCCACCCCACCACAGTGCCATCACCCACTATCCATCATTCGTGATTACAACCTTTACATTCCTCCAAATCTTGCTAGGACTCTGTCACTATGGCCAAAAAATCGAAGAACTCCATTCCAAACCCACCTCGAAGTATTTCTGACGACTCCAGCAACGACGATGGAGCTCCCGTTTATACACCACCCGAAACTGAGTCTAATGATAGTCCCTCGACCTCAGCTCATGTTCCGGATCCAAACCATCTCCACGATGTAATTATAGAACTTCAAAATGTCAATCTTGCGCAAGAAGAAGCTTATCAGCTGGGGCAAGAGGTAGACAAGAAGGATATCTCTACAAATAAAAAGAACAAGAAGAGTGGAAGTGGAAATCGTTCTTCGGGCAAGAAACCAGTTGCCGCAGATACCGCTGTCAGCAATGTCACCGATTCCCTCCAGAAACTTGCAGTTTCTGACAAAGATACAAACAATTTGGAGTCAGAGAAGATCGATACGAAAGCTGCAAAGAGCAGAAAGAGGAAGGAGAGGAAGAAGAGACGCAAGGCTCGACTAGCTGAGGAGGAAGAGCAAACCCAGGGTGGAATATCCAACTACAAATGGTTCAAAAGCGCAGGATGGAAGGACATGAAAGATTTCATGACCGGTCATGGTTTTAAATGGGGGGATGTTGACGATTATGCTGCGGCAAGTGAGTTGATTAAGAGACTCAAAGAGGATCAAGCTTCTGAGGAATATGCCGAACCAGAGCCACCAAAGAAAGAAGTAATCAAGGATGCTTCTGTCAAGGTAAAGACTGCCAAGACCAAGAAGAAGACGGTAGTCGGCTTGTGGGCAGATTACTTTGGAAATGAAACTGAGCTTGCAAACTGGCAAAGACTTTGCATCGATGTTGGCTTGGAAGAGATACCTACTAGCATTACCAAGTGTCGCAAGGTAATTGATACATGTTCTCCCAGCGGTCTCGTTATGATGCTAATATATATATTCTATAGGCCTTAGGAAAAGTCTGGGTAAACATCTACGATTTCCTCGACGCCAAAGCGGAAGGTACAACAGTGAAGAGATACCAGAGCGAACGTGAACTTGCTAAATATACACTGAAATCTGGCAAGGTTTACCCAAAGAGTAAGGCTAAGGAAGGTGGTCCTGTTAGAGCTCTATTGGCACATATTTTCGGACGCTAGGAACAGATTTAATGAGGTTCTCGAGGCGTCATTTTCTGACACGTTACGCAAGGATGATTTCATGAGCAAACGGATGACATATTTGGGAATTTGACTTTATGGTTGGGATATCAGGGTTTGGGATAGTATGGATGGCTGGGATAGTTATAGTGAGCGTATTGGCATGGGATTTGTATCGCGTTCATCAGATTGCGTTTGGGCGGGATGGTAATAGCCTGGAGTGTGGATAGCTGCATATACAACGCATATACAAGCATTTTTGCATGTTCTTCTGATGTTCTCGTTTGCTTGTACCTCTGCTACTTTGATATTACTTTTCTTTTTCCTTCCTCCCCTTGTTCTGGTGCTCTTTATCGTTTCCTTTTCTCCGTGAAGCTCTCTACCTGCACCCTTCCCCTCCTTTCTCATTCTGCATTGTCACATCATTAAAGACTCTCACTCCCGGCATCAAGTTGTTTGCACTCTTTTGAAAGATACAACCATGCACAGAAATACAACCAAAGATTCTCGAGCATCTCATTCATCCCATTTATTCCATGCTGCGAGCTTTCCACCATAACATAAATATCCAACAATCAACATCTACCTTAACTTTTCAACTCTCGTCCCATCCCACAAAAACCATCCTCTCTCTCCTATCCACCGCGTGTGCTCGCATCATACCAGCTCCCTCAGAACTTCCCCGCGAACCCCAAAATGCCACCTCGTCACCCCAATATTGCAGGGGACTTTGATAGATATTTCGGAAACGTGAGCGATCTACGAAATTGGCAGCAATTGTGCGCGGATGTGAAGATTCCTGGAGCGCGGCATTTGGAGAGTATTAACGCTTGTAGAAAGGTGGGTTTGAGTGCTGCTTTCGTTGTTTGGGAAGAGGAGAAATCGGGGTTTTATATTCTGGAGACTGGAGACTGGAGTCTCTTGATTTTTGATGATGATGATCACTCACTGGATTGCTTTACTTCGATCCTCACTCATCCTCGTCATCTATCTTGCATCTCACATTTCCCATTACTAACACACCTATCTCTTCTTCTAGGCACTCTCCAATGTCCACGTTAATATCTGTCAACTATTGGAACACTATGAGACTGGCGTCCCAGTGCAAATTTTCCCAAATAAAAAGAAGCTTCTTGCGTATACGATCAGGGAAAAAAAGTTTTATCCACTGAGTGACGCGAAGAAAGGGGGACCGGTTAGGGGATTGCTTTTTAAGAGGGGGTAGATGGGGGATGGAGGTATGGGATGAAGGAGGGAGTAGAGATTATGGGGGGGAGTAGGGATGAAATGCATTAGATGGATAAGAGATGAGAATTTGAAGATTCGTGGGATGTCTGAAAATCTTACTTTTTTCAATTCTAGATTCTTGAATAGGTAGGATGATATTACTGATCTCAACGTTGGAAATTGGATCAAGCTCGACTTACAGAGTTCTGCGATTTCTTCACTCTCAACCACAAACATCGTTATTCTCTTTTTTTCAACAAAAATGTCAAATCCGACACTATAATCATTCATTACATCTATACCACTAACTTCTGATTTCCCACAACTTAATCTTTCCAGCTTCATTACCAACCGCCAAAACATCACTTCCACTACCAAATGCCACGGATGAAATTCTTCCTAATGGCGTATTCGATGTTGGCCAATTCTTATATACTGTACAACTAGGTAGATGTACCAGTCTCAAAGCATCTTTCTTCCACCTACTACTAAAGACCAACAATTGTCCATCGGGACTAATTTGCAAATGACTTGTAGGTGTAGTTAATTGCAAAAGTCGTCTATTTGGCTCAGGTCTCTCGGGTATTTTTATATCGTTTCCTGAGATGAAATTCTTGCGATCGTAAATATTGACCACACCACTTTGAGATCCAATCACTACCCAACGATCTCCACCGAGTTGTTTGGGTCCATTTGGTCCACCGAGTGTAAGGACAGTAGCACCGATGGAACCATCATCGTTCCAACGAGCGACAAAAGATCCAGTTTCCATACTCCATTCTCCTACTTCTCCACCCTTTCCTACAACAGTTAATCCTTCTCCAGTTCTCCACCAGGCGAAATCTGCAACTCCATTTTTGCCTTCAATTCTTGCTGATGCTATCCATTGTGTTGTGGTTGCATCAAGAATATTTATAAGACCGCCTCCCTTTTTCGATGAACCAATCAGTCCCATATATCGGCCACAAGGACTGAGCTTGAATCTTTCCATAGTCTTTTGATCATCCTTATGTCCATAAATTCGCGTAACCTTGTTGATCTCTCCAGAAGGAAGATCCCAGATGTGGAAATAACGGCGTCGACCAGCGAAAATGATTTTGTCTCCGGAAGGATGAAGGAATGCGGATGTAGCAATGGGGGTTTTCCTAACGTGAACGCTAGTAAGTTGTGGATGTGGATGTGGATGGGCTGTGGGCGCATATTGGTGTAGATATAGAGTTGATGCTGGACCTGAAGAAAGTATGACTGGGTATTCTGGATGGAAGGAAAGAGAAGTGACGGCTGATGGTTGAGTTTTGGGTATATCCCTCGTTCTTTGGATATCGAGAACTTCAGGTCTGAGTTTTGGTCTTTTTGAGGTAGCGGGTGCTTCTTTTGTGAGAGCTCCGGCATCTTGAAGAAGTCTTGCGAGAGGTAATGTAGAAAGGTCGGAATCATCAACGTCCATATCGTTCGAAGACAATGAAGAGTCGGAGGCTGCAGATGACCTGCGACGTCGCTTTGTCGGCCTAGAAGATTGCGCCCACTCTGGAACAGGATTGAGACGCTCAAATTGCATTCGTAGTCGCCGTGTGTACTCTCTTCCACTAACTATATCTTCTCCTTCATTGACTCGAAGTTTTCTTAAACGAGAATTTCCAGCTAGAGATACATTCAATCGATCATCATCGCTATCTTCCCAAGCCAGCGCATCTCCTCCCTCTTCGTCTTCAGGTTGTGGACGTGGTATTAATGCATCTTGAGGTACTGTGGATGGTCCGGAGTCGAGAAAAAATAGCTATAAAAAAGTTAGTGATTATCCTCTATATTCGAGCGGCGGAGTTGTACATCTGCATCGTCAACACCCTCAATTCCAATGTCCTCTTGTTCCTCGTCTTGACCCTTTTCTTCTTCTTCATCTTCCGATTCAAAATCCATATCTTGACCCAATTGAGCCGTGAATCCTGCACCGTCTCCCAAAACAAGTCTGTCTAACTCCTCTTCATCGGAATCCTTATCCATCATGTCCACACTCTCATTGTCACTGGCACTCTCCTCACTTTCTTGAAGAATTTTTGGCGCATCCTTTTTCGATTTTGCGCTACCATTGGCAGACTTTTTTGACCGTAAGGGAGGCATTGTGGGTGATTGTATAGATTGTTCAAGTATATTTCGTTTTCTCATCAACTTTTTTTTGTCTGATAGAGAATAAATTTGCAGGGATATTGTGCAGGGATCAAAAACAGTATGAGAAAAGTGTTAGCTTCTAGCATTTTATGGGGTGTGCAAATAGTAACGCGCGGTATGTAGCATAAAGCGTGCAAGGTGTGTTTTTGGTAAGAAAAGCGAACATTTTATCACATTGCACTCTCCATATGATGAACTACAAGTATATCACCTGGACATGTACTCTTTTCGATATTGATATCAAATCGAACAATCAAGATTTCCAACTGAAATGTCGCAAAACACTACTCGGAAATTGTTCCATCGATTATTTGTTTGATAGAACATTAGTTCTACTTTTTACCAGGTATATTTGCACTCTGCAGATGCCATGCTTCATTTCCTACTACCAGTAGCAGCTAGGTAAAATGTCTGTTGCCTCAATGAAAATCTGCATTCCCCTATCTAAGCCTTCTTGCTCGATATTGATTTTATTCTCTTCTGTTTTTATAACAATTTAATACATCTAGTACAAGGGTTTTGAATCGCAGGCACTGTTATGTGCCGAACAAATCATCCTTTAATTCGTCTCTAAGTGGGGGTGATACGATTATAGGCTCTACTCTATCACCATGAGCACCACACGAGACATGGCGAGTGCCTGTATCGTTGGTAATTTGCGCAGGATTATATGTGTTTTCGTAAGACATCAATGAATACAGAGATGGCGAATGTGAGAACGGAAATATAGTGATATTTCTGCTCGACGTCAACCGTACAGTCACCTGTTCTAATTCCAGTCCCATGAGCGCATCCTAGATGAGAATCGAGATACAGATGAAAAGGATGGTCTAGGATGGCGTAGTATAACCCTATGGAAGTAAGACGGGCTTGAAAATAATGCGGTGCTGGAGCGCAGACTCTGGGCAGAGGACACTCTAGGATTGAGAGCTCTTCACTCCTAGGAGTAGTGCACTTCATCCAATATTGTGAAGAGCTTCTGTAGCCAAATTCGAAAACTATCTTTGCTTTGGAAGGAAAGAGTTGTCATAGCTATGTAAGTGGTGTTTGAGCTTGATCTAATGGTCTTTTCTTAAATGAACTTCTATTACTTGATCAATTGCCTGACCTATTCAAGGACATGACAAGAGCTACTTCGGCAATTTCCAGTTTCCTCAAAATCGGTGTATCTTTGTTATCAAAATTTATCTCAATTAGCTTCTTCGATACTAGCACCAGCCTCGAAATGTTCAACTGACAAAAATACGGACGAATAAAGCTCTCCTGAAATCCAACACGATAAATTCGCTTCGATGTAGCACTGTTCGAAGAAGTCTTTGTTCGCCCTCCGGATCCGTCATTTAGAATCATCTTAATTATAACATGAAAGGAGAAAGTTCGTTTCGCTTGTTTACCAACAGCTGTCCTTTATCCCCTTTGATCGCCAAAATATTTTAATCCATTGTACAGCAAGCTCCAAAACCCATCTCGAGTTCCCATCTCTAATTTTTTCCTGTTGGAACCTTGACATCCAGGCAACTTCACAGAGATTCTCATTCTAATCTCATGAAACTCTAACCATACCCCTATTCAAAGCCAGCATATACTTACATACTTCGATCCTCTAGCAGTCATGGCCGGCATTTTGACTAGCGAAGAAAGAGCCGAACGTGCCGCAGCTCGACAATATCTCGAGCGACCATGGCGCAACCTCGACTTCTGCGTCTACCGCTTCGTTCCCCCAACCGATAAACGTGGACTTCCCTACCCAGAAATAAAAAAAGATGGTCTACCCCAAGGACTCTCTGCTGATAAAGTTTGGGTGGGAGACTTCGCTCCTCGCTGGGGAGAATTTCTCCTCGATCTAGGCGAACCCGTTTATGATATGCAAAATCATCAACCCCTAGTAACACGACTCGAAGGATATGGACTCGATCAAGGCCGTGTCAAAAATAGAAATCTACAACAATTACCCTTTCCATGGGGAATCGATGGCTCACTGCCCGTGCAAATATGGGCCAATGAACAATTCCGCGATAATCATCGCCTACCATTCAATCCCAGAGGAATGAGTCGTCTAGACCTCCAATGGGAAGCCCGACGACGCGGTCTTCCCACCAAAGGAAAACGCTCCGAAATAATCCAACGAATCAACCGTCTCGAATTAAAAAGAGGAATCCAAGCCCCTGATTTCTATCAACGCGAAGCGCAGCTGCGTCTGGATTCCGTCCAGCTCCCTCTCTTCCGCGTTCTCGAACCCCAGGAACCAGTAAAATCTACACCTCAAACACCATTAAAACAACCCCCTTTCGACACGGGCGAAATCGTCCTCGTCTACGGCCACTTCACCGGCGACCAGACCGTATGTCTCGTGCGCGACTACGAAGGTAATCGCGGACGCATTAGTATCGATTTTCTCGAAGAAATCGAAATGCCGTTTGGACTCAAGCTGAACCGACGCGAATTGGTCGAGGTGCTCGATAGATTGGGCTGGGCGGATGAAGTGGACAAGACGCCGGAACCAGAGGAGGGCACCGATGAGTGGAAAGCATTGGTGGCGAAGAGACGTGCGGAAATGGCAAAGGCGGGGGCGACAGAAATGTGGCAGGATTATGATACGAGGTGGAATGAGGGGCAGAAGAGGAAGAAGAGGGCTGAGGATGCCAAGAAGGCGGAGAGGAGAGCGAAAAAGGCGAGATTGGCAGAGGCGGCGAAGGCGGCGGGGGCAGCAGGGACGACGGGGTCTAAGTGATGTGTTTGACTTTCTGAGTGTTTTGGGTTGGGTCTTTGGTTGGACAGTAGTTGGTGATGTGGTAAAATGGATTCGCTTGTTTGTGTCCTGTTTCTTGTATGTATTTAAAATGTGCGATGATATATTACATTGCATTTGGAAGTAGGCTGAATCATGTATTAGTTTATTAATTATCATTAATTTGTGTCAATATGAGCTATTGAAGGTAATAAGATGTTCTTCATGGCTCGAACGCTCGCTGATATGCAAATCACAAAATGAATAAGAAGCCAAAAATTCGAATCGCTATTTATTTTGGTATCAATGCTATGTTTAGTTCTTTTTATCCCATATCACTCTCCCAGTAAATATCTCGCTTCCTTCTGGACGCGTCCAAAATTTCCCTTTATCTTAATACTTCTTATGATGGACGGGGTTTTCAACGCCTAGACTCCCATATGCGAGGGCAATCATATATTCTTTTCCACACAATCACAGGACATCTCCTTACAATATCACTCCCTAACCATACCTCTAGCCCTTGTTCTCTCATCTACCGTCAATACCCAAACCATCTCCACTTCCTCTTCACCCAATCCATCACCTTCAACATTAACCGCCTCCCATTCTTCCTCATCCATATTGACAACCATAGCAACCTGCAGTACCCTCGCAAAAACATCTCTCAAGCCATACTTTCCTCCTCTGGCAATTACTCCTACAATCCCTCCATAATCTCTTTCCATCCTAGTTGCTCCTAATGCATTCATTTTCCCGCTATAATTCCAAACCCTTCTTTCTAGAACTCTTGCTAGATATTGAGCGGTTTGCTCTAGGAGGGTATTGAATGGTGTCGTAGACATGATTCTATGAATAGGTTTCATGAGAGCATCCCAGTGATGTTCGAAACGACGAGATACCATGTCCTGTAGTATTTCTTGAGGATCATCATCAGTATCATTTTGGCGGGCTATTTCAGCGAGATCTTCTGATGTAAGGGAGTAATCTACATCGCGGAATGTTTCGCTTAAGACTGGACGGAGACGTGGTTTGATGACGTTATTGAACATTACTTGCAGACCTTCGCTGATCAACTCGTTGGTCTTTGACGAGAATGTCGTATTGAGACTTGTAAGAGAATTAGAAACGAAAGTGGCATCATGACCATAGGGGAACATGTCTTTCAAAGCTGGAGCAGGTGGTACACCTTTAGCGTGAGATGCGCTGTTTGTTTCGGAAGATTGGAGATGACTCGACACAATTCTGGAAATATAGTCATTTGATACAACAAGACTGTTGATCAGGACGATAAAGGCGATAATTCTATCTTCCGGTGGAAATCCGCCTTGGACGAGTGGTTTTGGGTAAGATTCGTCTCGCATTTTGCGTTGAACCATTCCTACAAAATCGGTTCCCAAAACTCTGCTTATTGCTGGAATAACGGATTCGATTACACCACGTTGTGATGTTGAGATGGATCGTTTAAGTACTGCATTGACGATATACATAACATCATCAACAGCAGAGATTATATATGGAGCAGTTCCATCTATAGGTTTTGATAGATTGAGAGACAATCCTGTAGGAGATTCATCCAATTGAAATGCTTTCTCAACAGATCGTCGGAAGAAAAATGTAGTCATAACATTAAATGGATCCTTCAGACGATTTGAGATTTTTCGACTAAGAGCTGATTTGTCTAATAACTCCGGCATGACTAGAGGATCATCTGCGCTAGCTTCTGGATCCTGTGATGGATTAGAAATGGCTTGCAGAAGGACTGATATTGATGTTGCACTTACCCTGCATTTGCCGCTCAAGAATCGAGTATACAATGACCAACGACCTAACATCACAGCCATCTCATTCAAAAGACCATCTACTTCTTTCATATCCACACCCTCATCTTCACTTGCTCTCCCATTAGCAGCCGCTCCAACTGCAGGTGAGCCCGTCCTCGAGATTCCAGTTGGTCTTTGATTCGGTAGAAAGCTTTGCACCAAGAAAGAAAACGGATAACTTCTCACGTCTGTCAATCTCCTATCGACATTTTTCTCGTCTCCCCATGTGTCCAAAACAATCCCGCCCTGCACGTCGGCCTCAGCCTGTAATCTCTCTATCACTCTAACCATCTTCCCGGCCCCATAGTGTCTTTCCACCAACCCTCCATGTCCCTCCACGATCTGCGCAATGTGTTCAAACAACCTCGTCAACGCCTGCGCGTAGAAAAATACCTCTTTACCTCTCTCCCCTTTCGTCCCCTCCTTTAAATTCTTCCTCGCCGTTCCTGCTACTCCTTGACAAACATATTTTCCATAAACATCCAGCCCAACCTCTTCCCTCCCAATCAATGGGAACAATTTAAAGAACCTCGTAACTCTCACTCCATCCCCTTCCTCAGCCGCCTTCTCAAACTCTCTCAAAAACAATCCGCACAAGCTTTTCTTCGCCTCCTCAATCGTCACACCTGGCGCATCCGGTACCTCAACACTCGGAACCGTCCTTGCCGCAAAATTGCCCTCAACAATATGTGCTGGGATCTTCGACGCTCTTGCAATATATCCCGCTGCAGCTTCCCAGTCTTGCGGAGCCCCCATACTACCCACTACGCCATTGACGCATGCTTTCAATTCCGCGACTTGTTCTACAACACCCAATGTTTCCTCGACTCGTTTCTTCTCCAAATCCAATTCCTTTACTTTTGAGCTCAACTTCTCAGCCGTGCCGGCGGCATTATCCAGCATTCCATTTGAAATCGCCCTGGTATTTATAACATTTGTGCCAAGATGCGCGCGTAAGAGATCGAGCCGGCCGAGATCGCGGGAGAGGGAGGCTTGAGAAGAGATGAGGGATTGGAGACTAGTAGTGATCGCTGCGTCGCGGGTATGGAGGTTTGAGAGGATGTTTTGGATAGAGGCTAGGGAGGAGGCATTGTGAATGGATGATTGAGCTGATTCTGGAGACGGTGTTGTGGGTAGAGGTGTGAGACTGCCATTTAGGAGGCCGGGTGGAGGCATTGGGTGGGTTGAGGCATGGGTAGCTCTTCTTTGGGGAAGCTGGGTTGAGGTCGGGTGCATCTTTAGGTGTCATCTTTTTGGGTGTGGGGTAAGCGAGAATTTATATTGACGATTTGATCAATAATTTGTCCCATCGCTTTAATCATATCCAAAGATAATTCTTGTGTGTAGTTGATCAAATCATTGTGAATTCTCCGTACTTTTATTTACTACAATGCATACGCTTGGGAATCTATGCAATACTAAATCTATGTATACAATAGGCATTAAAAGCCATATTTCATTTATACGACTTGACTATACCCACTACCAAGCCTTCTTCTACTCCTTGATTTCCACCATTTTCTTGCTTCATCCGCCCAGAATACAGAACTTGTTAAGATAACCAAGCCAACCAAATCTGTAAGTGCCAGAGCTTCTGTTTGAAATACTTCCTGAAGCCAGGGGAAGTATATGACTAGTATTTGTCCACCAAGACTCAACGATACTGCCCAATTGAATAGCTTGTTCGAAAACAGCCCGACCTCACCTCTGAGGACAGACTTTGATTCTGAACGACAGTTCAACGCATTAAACATATCGAAAAGAACGAAGCAGGTAAAGGTCATGGTTGTATCTCTCTTACTGACTTTACCATCTGAAAGCATTTCGTGAGTATAAACTGCCATGGTACCTAACATGATAATGGTAGCGGACGTAAGGACTCGAGTGATCAACGCTCTTGTAAGTACAGGAGCATTCCTCTTTCGGGGTGGTCGGTTCATAACATCTGGATCCACTGGCTCCACGCCTAATGATTGAGCTGGGGGTCCATCCATAATAATATCTAGAGAAGTTGTTAGTACAATATGCGATGCAATCCAAAATCAACTTACTAATCCAAAGGATCTGCATCGCATTTAAGGGATTCTTGAATCCCAAACACGTGCAGACTAAAACCAAGCTAAGTGCCGCAGCGCTTGTACTAAGTTGAAATGTAAGGAAATTTTGGATATTACTGAAAATGCCTTTGCCCTCTTCGATTGCTTTGAGAATAGTTGAAAAATCGTCATCAGTCAAGATCATATCTGCAGCTTCTTTGGCAACATCTGTTCCTTGTAAACCCATAGATATGCCAATGTCAGCTTTCTTGAGGGCAGGTGCATCATTGACACCATCACCAGTCATTGCGACAATATCACCACGAGCTTGTAGTGCTCTGATAATCTTCATCTTGTGATCTGGACTGGTTCTGGCGAATACGGAAGTATTGGCTATGGCGGCTTGTAACTCTGCGTCGGTCATCTCATCTATCTCATCACCTCGTAAGACTGGTCTAACTTCTACAGAGTTTACTGAATGAGCACGTGGTGCTGCAACAGGCATACCGAGCTTCTTTGCAATAGCGAGAGCAGTTGTTTCAGCATCTCCAGTGATCATGATCACTTTAACACCGCCCCGCATGAGTCGTCGAATCGATTTCGAAACACCTGTTCGTGGAGGATCACTCATACCAACCAACCCAGCAAACGTGAGACCGTTGTAGACGTCTTCGCTGTGAGACACATGGTGGTCTAGTTTCGAGATTGGTGTTGCACTTCGGCTTGTTGGAGCCAACGATTTAGCGTGCCTGGCAACTGGGCCACTAGCAAAACCAAGAACTCTAAGTCCTTCAGAGGCAAGTTTTTCGGCAGCTTGTAAAGCTTGTTGTCTCTTTGCCGCATCCAATTGAACTTCACGGCCGTCTTTTGTAAGATATGTATCACACCTTTCCAAAACTCGCTCGATAGCTCCTTTGATATAAGCATGTTCTTTTGGACTTGATGTACCTTCCGGACCCAAATCTCCAATGGTAACACCCATCCATTTTCTTTCAGAACTGAATGGGGTTTCCCCAATACGATGACCCAAACCTTCACGGACGTCATGCTCTCTGAATCGATCGAGCATATCAAGCATCGCAACGTCAGTCGGCTGACCGACCCACCTGCTTTTTAAGACTTGACCTGAAGCACGACCCTGAGTAGAGGATAAAATAGCGACTGACGACGCTGATGGGGCATGAAGATGAGTAAGACGTGCATTATTAGCTATATTTCCGATGCGAAGAATACGAAGAGCCACAGTATCAGCTTTAGATTCTACAGTCTCATCATCCGAATCAACGTCCAATGGAGCATCGGCATCAGAATACCACATTTTAACAGTAGTCATATGGTTCATGGTAAGGGTACCTAGAGAAGAATCAGTATTTCGAACAAGCTATGTGATGTGTTAAGCATACCTGTTTTATCACTACAAACAACATTGACCGATCCTAGAGTTTCCACACTTGGCATTTTTCGTACTATAGCATTGTGTCGTGCCATTCGATGTACGCCAAGAGCCAAGGTGACTGTAACAATAATTGGTAAACCTTCAGGGATAGCTGCAACAGCTAAGGATATCGAAATTGTGAATATATCCAACCATGCTTTTCCTTGTAACCATCCAACTAAAGAGATTACCGCAATAATAACGAAAGAAGCTTGACTTAAGTGGTTCCCTAAATCGTCCATTGAAAGCTGTAGGGGAGTTCTAGGACTTTCCGTTTCCGATACACTTGCAGCAATCGTTCCAAAATGAGTATTTCCACCTGTTGCATAGACGATTCCTTGACCATGCCCAGATCTTACAAGTGTTCCCATGAAAGCAATATTAGTCGTACTATTTAATCTGATATCTGCACCTACAGCTCCACTGGCAGGAGAGGCATAATCGGAGGATGTAGGTGGTTCTAGTGAGCTAGATCCGGGTCTAAAATCGATATGTCTAGCTTCCGCAGTGATCCGGACAGGCTCATTTTCTCCAGTTAAATTGGATTCATCAATTGTCAAATCTGAAGCTTTTGTGACACGAATATCGGCAGGTATACGATCCCCAGTAGTAAATAAAACGAGATCTCCAGGAACCAGTTTCGATGCCATCATTTTTTGTGATACAGATTCTGCCATACTAGAATCCGCGTCAGATCCAGAGTCTGCCATCAATGCTTCCGTCTCTGGGACATCTCGGGTACTAGGGGCCATGCAGGTGTTCTAGGCGTTGTAGTTCTCATTTCTCCTCGTATTATGTGCGCATGATTGGGGATCAGGTGGTTTAATGCCTCAATCGATTTTTCAGAACGATACTCTTGTACGAATCCTACCGTAACCACAATTGTAACTGCAACGGCAATACTGATCGCATCATCTTTGTTCCCAGCTATTACTGACATAACAGCTGAACCCAACAACAACAGAATCAAAGTTTCCTTAAATTGCTTCACAAATCGAAGCCATAATGGTTCGGGAGGTTCGTGGGGAAGTTCATTCGGTCCTTGATCGTGTAATCTAGCAAGAGCTTCTGCGGGTGTCAAACCTGACGTGAGTGAGGTCTGCAATCGTTCTGCGGTTTCTGCGGGTGTAAGACCGGAAAATTCATCTGCTATTGACTGTTGCGCATTAGTCGTATTAGTCGGGGTCCTTTCTGGTTGAGCTGAAATTGGGCGTTCACTAACTTTGGCCATCGCTGAGGACGATCGAGTATGTCTGCTCTTTGAATTGGCCCTATCCCTCGACCTTGGTCTCGAAGATGGCTCTGAAATTGGCTCTCTACCATTCGCCGATGGAAGGTTGACCATGGGCAATAAAGATCCCGAAGGACTACCAGATCTTGCAGGGCGCGGCCACGACATAGCTTCGATTCCAACTATTCAGAAAACCGTTTTAAAGTCTGCGAAAGTAACGAGCAGCAGTATATGCTGTCGTTATGCTTAATGCCTACCACTGAGGCATGCGAATTTGGCTGAAACGAAAGAGGAAATGTGGTGAGTTAAGAATTCAGTAAAGGCCACCCATTAAACAAAACAAAAGAGCTCCTCCCAACTCCAACATGCAAGAAATTGATCTTTGAGAGTAGTGTAATTGTATTTCTTAAAGAATTGGTTGATAGTCTTTTAGATTTTGATCCATAGTAATTATCGAATTACGTGTCGTCTCCCCGTAATAACTTTTCCTGCCAGTTTCAAAAAGCAGAAGAGTATCCAGTATCAAGGTATCATACCCAGTAGGCAATCAGTCTCTCCAGTGAGTTGAGCACGGTCTAGGTTTTTTGGTACATCCTCCCCTGTAGTTAGGTCGCATGCCTGGGCGGGACTTTCTCAAAGGGGGTTTCTAGGCCTTGAATTGGATTCTAGAAGTCCTGGGAAGGGGGTTTAAAGTTTGAATAAGCACTACCTAGGCATATATGCTCTGTAGGGAAACAAGATGTAGAACCAAGAAGACGTTACTCCGTAAGAAGAACCACCAGTGAATTGTTATAAAATAATTACCTGTGTACCAGGGAGGGACTTTATCATATATCAAATTGCCATACTTGACTTTGTACCCAGTAGGTCAGTATTACCCAGCTCGCTTAGATAGATGTTACTACTGTTTTGTTTATCAGACTTCACACTCTGTTCACATATCAATTGGTTGAAGTTTTCTCTCTTTTTCCCTCTTTGTCCTTCTCTCTTGCTCGAACTGCATACGGTATTGAATAGATAAATAAATATACAAAGTTAGAAATGTCACGTGTAGATTACGGTTTTAGGCTCCAGACCCACTTGTTGACGAAACTTTTAGCCATTAATGGTTTAGCGTTAAAATCCAAAATGTATCCCAGCCTCTTGATTCTTCTTCAATCTTCATTGCGCAAACATTAACCTCCCCACCCACCTGTTCCCCCATCCTTTCTTAAGCTTTATCACCTGGTCGTCGTCGTCGCATCGCATTAAAGCACTGCAATCAATTCTTTGCTACGACTACTATATTGTTCTTTCGATACCTGTGGTTTCTTGCTACAATTTAATTCCGCGACGCGCTTAATTCATAACAAATATTCATCGAGAGCTGTCAAAATCAATATCCTCGACGCGCCATCAAACGAACGAAAGAGTCGACGGACAACAATAGGCAATATAAACGCGTTTTTATTATTGATTCCACTTAACAAAACTTACACTTCCTCGCGCGAGGGCGCTATACATATCTTGCTATCATCATGTTTTATTCAGAGACTTTGTTGAGCAAGACAGGGCCTTTGGCTCGTGTCTGGCTTTCGGCAAATTTAGAGCGCAAGTTGTCAAAAAATCACATTCTACAAGCCAGCGTCAAGGATAGTGTTGAAGCTATCGTCACACCCAATCAAGCACCAATGGCTTTACGTCTAAGTGGTCAACTGTTGCTAGGAGTGGTCAGGATTTACAGTCGAAAAGCGCGTTATTTACTGGATGATTGTAATGAAGCTCTCATAAAAATTAAAATGGTACGTTTTAAATATTTCAATAGCTTCGATGTAAATACTAACCCTCCCAACCTAGGCTTTCCGTCTCTCCGGTAACAATGATATTCCCGCCGGACTACATATGCCTTCTCGAGATGCTCTTATGCTTCCTGATATGCTTACTGAAGGAGATAACCTCGAAATGCCACCGATGCCTGATGCATCATTCCTTTTTTCCCAATTGGACGAAGAATCAGCATTAGGTCGCAAACGAAGAGGTGCTAGCCGTGACATCAACTTGCAGGACGAGTTCAACAATAGTCAATTTTTACAAAATAGTGTCGAAGACAACAACGCAGATGAGGATGAGCTTGCTTTGGAACCATTAGACGATGATCTTGACTTGGGTCTTGATTTTGGACTCGACGATATAAATCCTAAGGCGACTGGAGCTGATAGATCTGGAGCTGATATCAGTCTCGAATTCGGACGAGATGCACCCGCAGCAAGAGCTGTTGAAGATGACTTACTTAGTGAATTGGATATCCAACCACGAGCAAAGGATGTCTTTGATGATGGAGATCGTGAAAATTCAATCAACCTCGGATTTGGTAATGATGATGTTGGATTCCACATTGGTGATGATGATGGGGATATCGACATGCTTAACATTGGTGGAGAACCAGATATCTCTGCCCTTCCACGTGCTCCGGAACTCGAGCGCCTTCGCATTTCCGAATCGCCACTTTCCGACATAGATGAAACTATTGTTGCCGAAGTCGAGGCAAATCAGCAACAAAGAGAAGGATCTGGATTATTCGCACCAGAAGATGAGACAGAACAATCAATCTTTCGCCAACCAGCTCAACGTGCTAGAAAATTTAAACCTTTGATGCCTGATGACGATACTACCATTTCTAAGCATGCTATTCAAGAATTGCAGAAGAACCACGAGGCCATTCTACGTCCTCAGTCATTCCTTCCCCGCGATCCTCAACTTTTGGCATTAATGGAAATGCAAAAGAATGGTGGCTTTGTTTCTAATATTATGGGTGAAGGAAGAAGTATGGGTTGGGCACCAGAGCTTCGTGGAATGCTTTCACTCGATGCTGTTCGTAGGACAGGAGACTTGAAGCGTAAGCGTGATGGCGGTATTGCTGATGTGGATGGTGAGCAAGAACCAGGTGCCAATAAATCACCACGTTTGGATCTTGGAGAGGAAGAGGATCTTGGTGCCGATCTTGCTGGTGATGCTGGTTTAGGTCGGGACGACACGATGATTGCTGCCGATGGTACAATCATTGAAATGGGGGGTGATGATGAATTCAATATCAACATTGACGATGACGAACACAACGCTACCGCCGGTTTAGGAGACGCTCGCAGCGTAAGTCCAGGCAACCAATTCGACGAGACAACCGCACCTCTCGTACACCCTGCGGATAGCGGCCCTGTATCGCTCGGTACCACTCACGCTGTTCATCTTCTCCGTGAACGATTCGGCGATGAGGCAGCCAACAGCCCAGACAAGCGCAAGAAGGCCAGCGTTCTTTTCCAAGACTTATTACCAGAAGGTACAACAAGCAAAGCTGATGCTACCAAGATGTTCTTTGAAGTTTTGGTACTCGCAACCAAGGATGCCGTTAAGGTTGAGCAACCAGAAAACTCTCTAGGAGGGCCAATCCGTGTTAGAGGCAAGCGAGGTCTTTGGGGTGCCTGGGCTGAAAGAGAAGCTGGTGGTGAAATTGCTGAGGAGAACGCCCCTGGTCCCTCAACTACTGCACCTTTGCTGGAAGCATCCAGAATGGTCTCTGTTTCTGCTTAAGAAAGAAAATATGTTGTTGTTGTATGAGTACATTATTGCATTTAAGGAAAAAGGAAACGCTGGTCCAGCGATTGGCGTCAAGGTTATCTTTGTCGTAGGCACAACTCTTAGTTTATGAATCCGGCGTTTGAGAGTTGATATCCTGGGCGTTATACGAAAGCTTCAAGGCCCGTCTGATTGATGATTGGGATTTGTTTGGGTACTATATGGGCGTGCAACTTGAGAGTTGAGATGATGAGTGCTTGAGTAGTGTTTAAACGTATAAATAAAAATTTACAATGTTCATGATTACCTATTCTGTGTTTAATTATATTCTTGTGATTGCGTCTTTGAGTGATATTCTGTGCTGTTTTGGTCTTCCAAAAATAATTAGTAAAGCTATTTGTAATGTCAATCTTCTGTCCTGTTGACCATATATACAATGCTATCTTACTCATTCAAAGTTAAGGGGGGTTCATAATGGAGACTTGAGGGGATTGTGATGTCATGGGGAGAGTGTTGAAAGATGTTATTCTGTTTGCCTAGGCTAGGTAGACTTGAATAGCCTAAACATTTGCTCTGTAATTCACAATGCTGATCGCCAATAGCTAGAGTGACGCTTCCATTGCTCCATTTAAAAGTGTACTCAAAAAGCTCATTCAAATTCAGCGACTTTAAGATACACATTCGATTCAATAGCTTTGATATCCCGGACAACACAACAAACCAAATTGTCATTCGTCAAAACTCAAGGATTAACCAACACCGTCGATCTAAATCAATTAGCCCATCAATTCCACCCAAGAGACAAATGAAAAAGGAAAACCCCTACCCGCTTTCCTCCTCAAGCCCCTTTGCCTTTCCCTTCCCATCCTTCTCCTTCTCCCCATAAAACTCATCCACATCCACCACCTGTCTCCCATTCCAATTCGTCATGATATCCTGACCCTTCGTCCTCACTCTATTCTGGTACCACCCCGGCATCGCTCTCAACCACGTGAGAGTAACCCCAAACCCAGGATAAATTCCCTGCCCACTCTTCCCCTTCAAAATCTTCTTCACAATCTCCTCGGCCACCGTGTCAACCTCCAGCGTCGGAAGCAAAAACGTCGCATCATTTTTATATCCTTGAAACAGCGCCGTTTTCGTGTATCCCTGGTTAATCACTATCGTTCTGACTTTTGGCGCGTTGTATTTGGTGAGGAGTTCGGCGGTTAGTCCTTCGTGGAAAGATAGGGCGGCGGCTTTGGATGAGGCATAGTCGGTCATGTTTGGGACGGGGAGATAGGCTGCGAGACTGGCGATTGTGACGACCATGCCGTGGTTTTGGTCGATCATGGAGGGGAGAAATTCCTTGGTGGTGAAATAGTGCGAGAGCGTGTTGACGTCGAAGGTAAATCGGATATCTTTCTCTGTGGAATCGAGGATGCTTTTTCCGCGCGCGACGCCCGCGTTGTTGATGAGGATGGTGGGATTACCGACTTCGGAGCGGATGCGAGATGCGGTTGTAGCGATGGTCGATGGGGAGGTGATGTCGCATTTGTAGTAATGCACATTTGGTGCTTGGGGAGAAGTTAGTATTGTTCAATTGAAGGGTTCCGTGATATATAGGTAGGATAACATACTCGTCTCGAAAGTCATAGGAATCACATCTAATACGACAACCGTGATATCCTTCTCTGCTAAAAGCTTTACTACTTGACCACCGATCCCTCCCGCACCACCAGTGATCAGTACAATTTCTTTCTTCCAATCATATACATCATCTACCCAATTATTCTGCACGCCTCTTTCCAAATAGTTCGACACTAATCTGACAACCCCAAAGTAGAAGAGTTTTCGAATTCGAGAGAAAGCCGTTTCATGAAGAATCGAAAGATCATTTCCCCGTTTAGTGTAACGAGCTAGAATGAGGAAGACTAATGTAAAGGCGGGATTTAATGCCGTTTTCTTGATAAGGCTACCGAGGGAATCGCTTCGGAAACCTATATGTCGTGTTAGCTTTGGTGCTACGAGTTCAGGGAGTTTAAGGTTATACCTTCGCGTGGAAGCCATCCGTTATGCATTGGCATCTTTCCCGTCTGTTGTGTAATATTATTGATAGTTATGAGAATTTGTCAATGAGACGAATTGATCATGAAGGTTCAATGGGATGAAAGGTGAGAAAAGAGAACATCTTGACAGGAATGTCACTACCTTTGACTTGACTACGATATTCCAGATATCCGGCTTAGCATTTATCGAAGCACGTGTTGACCAATCAGGATAGGGAAAGTTTGCCAACCGAGGAAAGAATTGGAGTTTTGAATTGCGGGGAGCGGGGTCTAGCGCGTAGGTTTCCCCATGAGGTGTAGGTATTATGGGGCTATGTGATAACACTTCGCAAGCTTCTCATCCTTTGCTCTTATCCTGGATTTCATCATCGACAAATCCTTCGGGTTTTCTTTCAACTCGAATTGAATGGCACGCAATTTCACCTGGCATTATGCCGAAAATGAAATTGTCTAGAAACAGTAGTTTGTGGGAGGCTAAGTGACCTTGATATGGGAGGATATAACTGAAGGACACTTGAAGCTGCAGGCTAATTGATTGTTAGCTGGCCACGGAGTGTTGTTAGCTCTCAAACTAACCAATGCAACGGAAACGAGACTCTAAGGATGCGTCGGTGGATTATGGAACTTAAATTAGATTGGAAATTAGTAGAGAATAGACCCCCCTTAACCCTTGACTCGATGTTCTAAAAACTATAGCGCAAACATCATAACCAGACTTCCTATCCATATATAATGTACACCAGCTCTCCAATCGATAGAGGTTCCGGCCCCAATTCCATCCTGTGAAGAGGCAGTAGTTTGTATGGCCGTTCCTGCAATACGAGTAAAACCATTTGCCGACGCGTTTAATGTTGCCCAAGGAATCAAATCATTATTGATAGAATCACAAGATGGTCTATCACTTTGCTCAGGTATAGAGTTGGTGACTTGAATTGGTAGGTCGAAAATTGTGTACTGATCAGTTCCGTTCAATCGGAAATTTTGACGGATGGAAATCTACAAGATTGTTAGAGTTGGCTCACAAGCATAGGATGGATATCAAGGACGCACATTATATGCCCCTCTTGCAGTGTTTTTATCCGATGTGCCATCACCGACAAGACAATCAGGCCAAACCCAATTTACATGTTTGACTGTGCTACTTGATTCTTGAGCCATGATCTCGCCTAAGCTCGCATTTCCGGCTGTCGCGGTTCCATTTGAGATTGTGAGGTTTTTTCCTGTAGTATAACTGGAGAGAAACATGGTGATATTATAGATCTCCGAGACAGCGTTCTTCGGATAGGGTGGAAGTTGAAGCTGTCCATCTGAGGAGACATCTAGAGCAACTTGTAGGAAATCTAAACAATCAGAAAACATCCAACATCCAAAGTTAGGAGTTTATTAAAACTTACCCCCTCCAAGTGGTGTATTTGGTTGCGGCGCATCGACTATCGCGATACCGGGAGTATAAATTTGTCCATTGACAATTTCTTGAGAGAAAATACCTTGAACGCAGAGACAAATGAAAAGAATGATGGATTGTAATGCCGCCATGGCGGAAAGATGCTCAGCAACCACAGTGTACAGAAAATCAAAGAAGCAATGAATACATCATGTCAAAGGAAGAACGGGTAGTTGGTTTTACAAGTAATATCAGCATGACAATATACGAAATAACGACCAGGGGATAAATTTCCGTTCCAATCTCTTGAATGAAATATTCCTTACGAGTTAATATAAATTATGCATAACGGTGTTTAAATCAACAAATTGATTGGTTCGGTCAACTGATTCCGAAAGCTCGAAGAAGAAGTCCAATCAACATTTGATTAAGACTTGGCTTGTATCAAATATATTGCACTGCTTGAATTTACTTCTTGATGGCGCTTCATCTGTCGAAAATCCTTCTAAACCTTCCAAGGTGTCACAGATAGATCACGTGAAAATAAGGTTATCAATAAACTTAACAGGCTTCTATTTACACCCCACTCACTGTCTTGTCTACACCTCATTGGAATATATAATAGGATGTTATAAGTCCAACAAATGGCCGTGAAGATAACACCTTCCTATAATTGAGACATTTACTGGCACATGATTGAATTCCTCATCTTACATCCCCACGGCTACATGTTAGAGTACTTCACATCATGAATTCCATACTCCGGCCCACACGTGGGATCCGAATCTCTTCGGTGTCAACCAGCACCTTATTATCCAAGTGCCATTTCAGCAACCCCTCTAATCAAGGGCGTGGCAGTTATCAAAAGAGATCTCAAAGGCCGAGCTTTGGGGATGCTGAGAGTAGACTCTTCAAGGTATCTGAGGAAGTGAGAGAGGCTACGAGGTATGAGAAACCAGTTGTAGCTTTGGAAACCACCATTTATACTCACGGATATTCATATCCTGATAATGTCAAGTTGGCCCTCGATTTAGAGGATGTTGTTCGTCTCAATGGAGGAATTCCAGCAACGATTGGAATTTTAGACGGTGTTGCACGTGTGGGATTAAACAAGGAGGAGTTGATTGCCATTGCATCTGCCGCTGGTAAGCCGGAGACCATGAAGGTTTCTCGCAGAGATTTACCTTATATTTTGGGAATGGTGAGTGGCAGTTTCTGTGCTGATTTGTCCATTTTAACATACTATATTCTTCTGGGTAAAACTGACAATGAACTAACCGTAATTAGGGGATCGCTGGACGCAAAATTACTGGTGGTACTACAATTGCTGGTACCATGATTCTAGCACGTAAAGCTGGGATTAGTGTCTTCGGAACTGGCGGTCTAGGTGGCGTTCATCGTGGAGGTCAGGACAGTATGGATATTTCTGCCGACCTCACTGAACTTGGACGTACCCCAGTTGCCGTGATCAGCAGTGGCTGTAAAAGCTTTCTAGATATTCCTCGGACATTGGAGTATCTAGAGACTCAAGGAGCCGGCGTCTTCACATTTGCAGATGGACGTACTGGACCGATCGACTATCCGGCATTTTTCACTCGTGATAGTGGTGTCAAAAGTCCTATGGTTGTTCAAAATGCTGAAGAAGCTGCTGCTATTATCTGTAAGTTTTGACTCTATCCCTCGTCAATTCCATTTAGTAAGCGATAGTTAACAATACTAGATGCCCAGGACTTTTTTAGACCTGCTAGCGGTTTTCATTTTGCAAATCCAATTCCTGAAGAATTCTCCCTTTCCAAGTCTGAAATTGATAAGGCAATCGATCAAGCAGTCCAAGAAGCCGCCGAACAGGGCTTCCATGGCCATTCAAATACTCCCTTCATTTTGGCAAGGATCAAAGAACTTACAAAGGGCAATAGTACTGCAGCAAATCGGGCATTGATAGAATCCAACGTCAAAATGGCGACAAAAGTAGCAGTTGAGCTTTCTAGGTTAAGAAAAGATGAATTCAAACGCTGGTCAGTGAAGCGTGGGATCAAACATTTAACATTGGCTCAATAGATATTCATAGGGAAAACACTAGTAAAGTCCTCACACGGCCTTCCTCTACAGCCAATATAAACAAGATAGACCCAAATCACCCTAGCTTAGAACTGTCCTCTTCCAGTGTCTCTACTTCAAAGGTTTGCAATAATCCTCCTTGCCTTCCACAATGTTCTTTCGACGAACCCATGTTTTTGAATATTACCACTATCTAACTATTTATTTCCTGTAGCCCAGCATAGTCGTTGTAGGTTCAATAGCTATAGATCTCGCTTGTGACTATACTCCTCGTACCACCCAAGCGACAGGGGCTTCTTCTCCTCAGATGCATACATCGAATATCGCGAAAATCCAATCATCGATAGGTGGTGTTGGTTACAACGTCTTACGTGCAGCTCAGCTTAGTAGCAAGGAGCCAGTCAGTCTATATACGTTTATTGCTGATGATCAGTGAGTTGCCCATAATCGTATCATCAATCAAATCTGATAATTCTAGGGCCGGAAAATCGATACTTCAAAGCCTACAAAGCAATGGACTCAATACCGATGACATTACAATATGTTCAAAAGACACCAAATACCGCACAGCTCAGTATGTCGCCGTCAATGATGGAAAGAAAGATCTCATCATCGCCATGGCCGATATGGATATATTTGCTAGGCCATTCAATGACTCATCTATTCGAACCATTCACAGCAAACTGAAGTCTCTTACATCTTCCACAAAATGGGTAATTATAGACGCAAATTGGCAATCAGAAGTCATCCAAGAGTTCTTGAGCGCCACCAAATTATCTTCATCACCCATCAAGATCGCATATGAACCCGTCTCAACCATTAAATCGGCACGTCTTTTTGAACGCCCTACCAATGCATCTCTGAAGGCCAATAAACTCCCTGTCTTCCCGAAAAACATAGTGGATCTCGCAACTCCTAACGAGCATGAACTCACTTCTATGCACGATGCCGCCACTACCCACGGTAAATTCGAGACCGACGAATGGTGGCAAACAATTGATGCTCTCGGTATTCCTAGCACCGGCGCTCGAGATCGTTTCGTACAGATGACATCTAAAGATCTCACTGACCAAGGAATTCCCGTCAAAGCTGTTCAACTACTTCCCTATATCCCAACTATTCTTACTAAGCTTGGTTCTCAAGGAGTTTTACTTACTTCTATATTATCGCCTACTGATCCACGACTTCGAGATCCAGATCATGCTCCATATATTTTATCACGTTGTACTAATGGAAATGAGGAAGTGGGTGGTGTATATATGAGGTTGTTCTCAGCGGCAGAGAAGGTTGAAGAGGGTGATGTGGTTAGTGTTAATGGGGTTGGTGATACATTTATGGGTGTCTTGATATCGGGATTAGCGAGAGGATGTGAACTGGGAGATGGATTGATTGAGATTGCACAGAAGGGAGCGGTGATGACATTGAAGAGTAGTGAGAGTGTTAGTCCTGAAGTTGGAGAGTTGAAGGGGGAATTAGATGAGTTGTCTCGACGATGAAGTTTGGGAAGACTTTAAAATGTATATCAAAAGAGAATGATGTACCAGGCATCTTAGATTCAATGATATCTCTAGTTCGATCGATGATGTTCAAGGTGTGATGAAAACATTGGGCGGGTTTTGGAAAAAGATGGGAATACTTAGCCTAACACGAAAACGACAATCTTGTGCTTTCATGGTGGAAATTATTGGAAGGGGAGCTCACCTTTCCCTCGAGATAGGTCTACACGAGTGTTGCATTTCTTGATTTATACAAACAGTAATCTATCTCTACATCCAAATTTTCACCATCTCCGCAAACCTTTGCATATCTCTCGAGGATAAAAATAGTACATCTACTCCCCCACGATGGTCCACTCAACCGCTCCGTACAAACCCGAAGACTACATATCAAAAAAATCACCATCTCGATTCCGCCGCTCAAAATGATCACCCAGCATATTCCTACCACCAACACGACAACTCTCTCTCAACATCCCAATCCTGCAACCCTCTCTCCAACTCGCGGTATACATATGATTTAAGATTACCTCCCTTGAAAACCTGTTCTGATTCTTGACCAAAGACCTTTTCTTACTATACGTATACGGCGGAAGAGGGAGACATTTGTAGATCATTCATTCGATCTAGCTTTCTCATAGAATCTCTCTATTATCTGGAATTCTTTCCTTCCACAGCGCAACAAGTTACACACACAAATACAAATACAAATACGCTTCTTGTAACCCATTTCGCGAGCGGGAGAATGTATATATTACATATTACAATACAATGAATTATAATATAAAAATCATAACAGAACAAAATATATGGACTGTCAAACTCCAATCCTTTATAACTATTTGAATGTAATCCTACGGATTATGAAGTGAGCAGGTGGGTAGGTATCTAGATGAATTAATTATATAGATGGGTATATTTTATTTCTTTCTTTTTCGTATTCCGTATTCCTTATCTCAGAACTCCTAGAATTATCTACTATAGTAGCTGAGGAGATAGATAGATAGATGTATGTATGTAGACGAGGAGAAGAACATAGATAGAATATGAATAGATAGACAGATATCAAATTAATTACCTACCTACCTACCTACCTACCTACCTAGTATCTCATCCCCTCCTCTCCCTCTCCTCTCTCCCTTCTCAAAAATCAAACCACAAACCACAAACCTACCCACTACCTACCTACCTACATACATACATACAAATCTTCCCTCCATCGTCCCTCCTCCCTCCTCCCTCCTTTCCCTCCCCCTGCAAAACTCGGGCCCTATTTCGATCTCTCAACTCCCTCTCCCCTACCTACTTACTCCCTAGAGTACCGATACTCCTATAGCATAACCATATAAAACATAAAACATGAGACATTCCTATTGCACATTCCACATCCCCACCAAACAGAAGAGAAATAGGAGACTACACACACACACACACACACACACATGAGACCATCACCATTCCATTTGATTCAACCGTCCATCCATCCATCCATTCACATCTTTTTTCACATTCACATGTCTTTTCCTTTTCTATTCTTCTCTTTTTGTCTTCTCTTCTCTTCTTCTCCTCATCATCGAATCATCTCTATTCAATATAAT